CAGCTAAACTGAATTCAGCCATCATTAATGTTATTACTTATACCTGTGCTTTGCTATTGTGACATGTCAACATATCGTCCTTGACAAAGGCCTTTATAAGGCTTGTGCTGAAGTGATTCTGGTAAGGTAACGTATTTGTAAGGTAACATGTGGCTATAAGTACACATTAACTAAAAGTATAAATACAAACACACCAAAATCCCATTTATGCTTGTATAAATACTGATAAACTTCAATTAACAGCCCAGGCTATTATTTGCTTAAATCACTGAAATCAACAGGCTTACATTTGGGACAGGCATCTACATGGGACAGGCCTTTAATTCCTTACACACAAAACTGTTGCTCAGCAAAGATCAGGAAATACAATCAAATTGTTTATTTAAACCAGTATGAATATTGTATAAAAATTAGGCTTCAGATAATATATCAATTATGAATCATTCATTACATCTATAGCTCCAACAGACAGCACATCAGAGAGAAATTGAGTTACAGCACTCGAGGATTACAGCACTGAGCGTACCGACACAACACCGACTAAAGGAATTTGAATAACTTACAGGGTAATTGAGGAATGGAAACATAATTTGAGGTAGCCAACACCCTGGGTAGCCAAAAAATGAACTGCTTGGCAACCAGACCAGGCGTTTAATTGAGACAGGCCTTTATTTGTCAAAATGTAGCCGCACCAGGCTAGTAAAAGGGAACAGGCGTTCAACTGGGAATAGGCTTTTAACTGAAGTTTTATGTTATCAATCTTGTTGTGTTTGAACACTGGTTTCCAAACAATGGGCTGGGATCCTTCCAATCTGCTTAATGATGGAAAGGAATGGGAATATGAGCAATTAGTTCCTTCACAAACTGTTTTCTGAAAAAGTTGGAACAGTTTTAGTTATTTAACAGGACAAATTTCCATATCTGTGTTGTTGTCTGAGCTCCTTACTCTGGTTTGCAGTGGGAGGAACTCTGCTCGAAAAGGGGATGTCATGTACCTTCATGCAGTGATCACGATTAAGCAACACTTGAATGAAAAGTGATGATATTTGTGGGGTACTTTGCTTCTATTGTCAGGCCATTGTCAGTCACATTTCATAAAACCACACTGACGCAATTCTAATGTGGCAGATTAGCTGTGATAGAGTGATAAACTCCTAATGAATAATAACTTAAGATGTTTTTTCAGACTTTATTATTTATCATTATAAGCGTATTTAGTAATAAATATGGAGGGTTATAATGCAATGCTTAGTGCAAATTTTTAGAGGCTTCAGAGGTTATTTTAACCACAGGTACATGAGCAAAAGTAGTCCTCAAAAATCCTTGAAGCTCAACAATTTCAGCCTCGATATGTTCATTCGGCACTGTGAGAGAGAAGGCTACAGTTGTGAGGGGGCTGAGAGCATTGTCGGGGTAAAGTGAGACAAATGAGACCCTGGAGAGTACTACTTAGCCACTCATAAAGGTCAGATATGGAGCCACACCAATGGATGCTAATCCTGACCCCGGGGACTGTGTGCACATGCGCCTGTGGATGCAATTGTTTCACAGGCCTGTGACATTTAAACCTGAATGAGCGTACAATCCTGGGTGACAGAACAGTGTGTACGTGTTTGTATGCCTACTTGGCTGGAAAGCAGCGGGCTCTAGTGCCAACTGAGGTTTAATTAGAAATGGCCTTGGGGGCAATTAAAACATCAGAGGCTGTTTTTTCCATATAGACAACACCACACTGTAAGTGCTATAAATATTAGCTTGGTTTTGATTGTGCTGTTAAACATTTAAAACTGTCAGCTTCTATAGGATGCTTTTTATGACTTGAATAAAAGATTTCAATAACCTTAATTTGTTACGCTTTTTTTTTTTAAAAAAAAAAAAAAAACATTCAGCAATCATAACAACAGTCTTGTCATCTGTAGGAAATTATGCTTTTATTATGTTCTCTATTAAGATTTCACCTGACAGCAGAGGTATCATTAAGATTCCTTCACTGTGATGTTCTTATGAGGCATAACTGTATGTTCGCCATTATGTAGGCTAGTCACACAGTCTAATTGGTATTGCACTAATAACACACTGGCAGGCTGAAAACATTCAATCCTTTCCCCCTTGTGTCGCAGCTATAAGCTTGTCAGCAGGTCACACTGATTGGGGCACCTGAGAGCCAGTGAGAATGCAATTTGTGAGTTTTAGCTGAATGCGGTGGAGATAACGACTGACAGGTCACAGCAACAGTTCAGCCCAAGTGTAATGAGCAGAGAGAAATTCACAATTCTGTTAACGCGTGTGTGTGTAACTGTGAGAGTCCTTACTGTGATTAATGGCCATCACTGAATGCAAGCACTGTGTACGAGATGCTGGTTATAGTGCACCATTTTGTGCTTTAGAGAACATTTCAACGTTTCTGTCAAATTTAGAATCTCAGTTTTGGCGTGTCTACACTCAAATGTACAAACAAAGCCAAGTTCTCCTGGTAATATCTTCAAAAGACAAACCATTAAACTGTTTATGACCTTTGCAGAGAGGCTCAGTGGGCTCAGAGGAGAGACCCAGGATAACTCTACAGAGATATGAGCGCACCAAACCTGTAAACTGAATAAATGTAAAACTTGTGCAAGTGTCACAGATGCAAGACCTGAGCGAACACAGAGAACTCGTACTTTCATATGTTTAGCCACAGTAGTGATGCTGCCCCCTGGTCAGCAATCAGTCTGATGGTGGGTCCATCTCTTTGGTTTAGACTAAAATATCTCAACAACTATTTGAGGACTACCATGGAATTTTGTGGAGACAGTCAGGGTCCCCAGAGGATAAATCCTACTGACCTTGATCCCCTGACTTCTCTTGTAGGGCCAACATGAGGATGACATTTGTGGCTTTGAGGGAAATGTCCTAAGAACTCTTGGATGGATTGAAATGTGGTACCATCACTGAGTTCCCTTATAACTTTGGTGATCTCTGACTTTTCTTCAAGTGCCACCATCATTTAACTTGTCCTGTACTTTGGTCTGTGACCAAATACTTGCAAAACAAGACATCCCCATCAGCCCTAGCTAGCCTTTGTCTTTAGTGCTAAATAGCATGTTAGCATGATAACAGGCTAAAACTGAAACACTGAGCCTGGTTAACTTACTATACTTCCAGTGGCCAAAAGTAACTAAGTAAATTTACTCAAGCACTGTACTTAAGTACAATTTTTAGATAGGCCTACATGTACAGTAATCAAGTATTTCCATTTTATGATACCATATATTTCTACTTCACTATTATGATGTATTATTACAGGTAAATCTTCCCAGTATATGAAGCAATTAAAATCATCCTCACCCTTACTAGCTGCAACATTTAAGTAATAAACACATTAACGCATCAGTAATCATAATCCATTATTCTGTACTTTAACCTTAAGCATATTTTGATACTAACACTTTTGTATTTTTACTTGAATGAATTTTGTAGGACTTTTACTTGTAACAGAGGTTGTTTTCTTAATATATAAAATTGTAGTATTAGTACTTTTGTTCAAGTAGAAGATCTTAGTACATCAGCTTGTTAGCATGCAGTTAGCATTGGTCAAAGCATTGCAATATAGTCTGTAGATATTTTATTAATTTATACTTCTTCTTTTTTCTTCTTTAACCCAGAAAGATACTGAAACACTCACTCATGCTTTCATTACCAGCCGTTTAGACTACCGCAATTCCTTTTCACTGGACTACCCAAAAAGTCAGTAAGAAAGCTACAGCTAGTCCAGAACACTGCAGCCAGAGTGTTGACTAAAACAAGGAAAATGGATCACGTTACCCCACTGCTGAGGTCACCACACTGGTTACCTGTATAATCTTTTAGAACTGATTTTAAAGTTCTTTTACTTCTTTATTAAGCTTTAAATGACCTTGTCCCTCCATATGTCCAGTCAGATCACTAAGGTTCTCCACTGCTTTACTTTTAAATGTTCCTCATATGTCCCATAAAAGTACTGGTGATAGCTCTTTGTTTTTACGCCCCTAAACTGTGGAGTTCGTTACCTCTGGATATTAGAATAATGCACACTCTCGCAGTATTTTTAAATGTACATTAAAGACCTACCTTTTTAATCTGACTTTTAATGTGGAGTAACATCATACCTTCTTTTATCTCTCCTGTTTATTCTATTTTACTTATTTATTTTTATTCTATGGAATTTTAATCTTCTTTTTTTTTGTTGGTTTGTTCTGTTACGGTTGGTTTGCTTTGTTAATATTTTATTGTCTCTTGTCTGTGTCATGTCAGTTTTGCCATGTGAAGCACTTTGGGCTTCATGGTTGTATGAAAGGTGCTGTATAAATAAAATTGAGTTCATTGGTTGATACTGTTATGTTTCATTTTGTGAGGGATCATCCTGGACATTTCTCGCAAAAATCCGATTAACAATAAAACACAACAAAATATGCCCAAGATAGTAGTGGTTACTGTTCTAGTTTATCACTTTTCGTCTCTCAAATAGGCCTACATGTGAATCCACCACATCTGTCATCACACTACTGTCTGATACACCATCTATGAAATTAAAAGGTGTATAATCATCACACTAAGTCTTTATTACTCAAAGCTGCAAAAGCTCTAGAAAACGATTAACAACAGCCATTTATAGCAGAAATTGATTTGCTGAGAATATTAGTAGATTGCATCAAGGATTTTGATACATTTCTCAGCTTGAAGCGATAACCACTGTACACCTGTCACACAGATTATGTCTCTCTACAAAATGAGGGACTGACTCCATCTTGTGGTGCAAAGAAGAACTGTTCAGTGATGGTGTGGGTATTATCACACAATGTCAAACAGGACATTTAACTACACGATGGGAAAACACATACCCCAGACACCTGGAGGTGTGAAGTAGCAAAGTAGTTATTTCATTATGTTATTTAAACACCTCTTTCCTCTCATCTAATTCCCCCTGTCGTGTGAATCACTGAAGCATGTTGTACCATTAAATGAGGATATGCAGCAAAAAGTCAAACACAGGTAACTTTAATTCAGGGACTGCTTCAGATAATAACAGTTACAAAAACCAGATTACTAAATGTGACACACCAGTTAAACAGCTGAATAAAAATAGCAAAAATAAAATGACACTGAAATTAAAATCAAATTCTGTTTAAAAAAAACTGAGCTGATGGCCGTTATGCTGCAGAACAGTGATATGTACAGTTAATTCAACATCGCTTATTTAAAAATGGACATCTCAATGAAGTTGGTACAAACGTATCAACGATATGCTTACAAATATTTTTAAAAAGACATTAAATTATATTCTGAATGATTCTTCCAAAACCATCGAGGAGTCATGTTAGCAGTTGTGAAAAATAAAATGGACATAATCTTGCTTTAACCTGTCACTTAAAACAAAAACACTACAATGTAATGAAACTTAAGATTATGTTTTTTTAAAACAAATTCAAAATCTGTCAATCGGCTTCTCAAAAATGTGGGCTCTTACTCCCCGTCACCTTCACTCTTATCAGCCTCCTTGTTGTCTTGTGGCACGTTGTTGTCGTCGTTGTCTTCACCTTTCTTCTCCTCTTTGTTTGTGTCCTCTGCATCCTGTTTCTCGTTTAGCTCAGCTGTGTTTGTATCTGCTTTTGCTGTGGTCACGTCAGGCTTTGGTGTGTCCTCTTTCACCACCTCCTGCACATTGTACTTCCTGTACAGCGTATAGTCCTTTACAACACTGATGCAACACACTGCCTTGATGACCTCCACAATGATTGTCAGTTCTGGGTTGGTCAAATCAACTTTGTTCTTTGGGTTCAGCTTCCCCACGAGTCCTGGAAATAAAAAACGTTCAGTGATGATCAAAAGGGTGAAATTCACTTTTCATTTATTTATTTTTTCATCTGACAATATTATCAGACCATATTAGCTGGAACTCTACCTGCGATTGATTTGATGATTTCGTCTCTCTTGTTGTGGCTGCTGTTGCGAGCCTTGAAGGCAATCTGGTAGGTGCCACAGTTTGGGGTTTTGAACCAAGGCTCCAGGAAAGTAGTCAGGTACTTCACCATGTCATCCTGGAAGGCCTTACATGTTCCAGTTACCTGGATGAGAAGATAACAAGGATAAAGACACTGTGGATGACAGGATGGAGCTGTAAATTATGTTAATCTTTACATATTCTTTAACAATAAATTCAACTGTTATGAAAGGGATCAAACAACTGCATCTTTTAAAGCTCATGCATCATATCAAACACAGGTAATCTGAAAATTGTAAATTTAGCTTCTTACCGGTAGCATCCGAAGTATCACACGCGACTTCTTCTTCTTGGTGGTGTGGAGATCGGACAGGATATGATGTACCAACTTGTCAGATTCTAGGAGAGGATGAACAAATAAACACAAATAACAACACTAAAACATTACAAGTCACATTCATGCTCTGCTCAATAAAGACACTTACCCAGATTGTGAGTTTTGATGAAGATGACGTTGTTTGCTCCGCTGTCCAAAGCCTGGAAGCGCCTCTCCTGTTTCGCTCCAGACGCTTTCAACTGTGCCACCTCCTTCTTCAGGGCTTCATCAACATCTTCTTCATCAGCATCCTCTTCTTCACTGCTGCTCCCATTGTTTTCTTGCAGCTGTGATCATGAGAGTGGCACTTCAGTAAAGCAATTCAAATAAGTTGTTTACTCCTAAAATGCCAGTTAAGTACTAAAAAATGAGTGCAATGTGATATTAATTATATTACTTTTTTGTCAACACATTTGATAACGTGGAACCAGCTAAATTTAGACAATCTTTGTTGAAAGATTTAAGGATTTAATAAGTTATCCAAATTGTTTTCAATTCAATTCCTGTCAAATGATGAATCGAATTGTTTTTGCACTTTACCAAATCACCACTTTTCAGTTATTTCGAAATTACAGCAAAACACTAAGAAATGCCAGTTTTAAACACCAAACCAGCTTGACCAGTTTAATTCATATCTACTGCCATGGTAAAGTGCACTATGAAAAGCTTTTTTCTCTGGCTACTTTCATGCAATACACATAACCAATGTGCATTTCAAAATACAGTTAAATATGGAATTTCTCAATTGTGGGATTAATAAAGGTGTATCTTATCTTAAAACATGCACTTTAGTCTGCACTTTCCCACTACAGCAGGGTGCAGGTCACTTGTTCCAACTTACAGTAACTTAAACGTAAAAAGGCCCAGTAAATAACTAGCAGATAAAGAGATCTGATATGTGTAACAGGGGACATTAAAGCACTCTTGGACTCACCTTCTCGGGCCCATAGAGCTTGTCGGCGTATTCATTGAGCAGATTGAAGGCCTCCGCGGTGCACTTCCTCTCGTTCATGTTGCATGTGATGAGGATCCCCTGCATGCCCACCTCCAGCTCCCGGGAGCCTTTCCACCGCTTGTTGTGGTGTCCGGCCGCGTACCGCTTCTTGCTCCGTTTCCTCGTCTCGTTGGACACGGCCGACATGTTAGCACACGGGCTTTCGTTATAAATACAAACCTTGTGTTTGAGCTCAGCAGCAGCGGGCTACCGTCTTGTTTTGGTTCCTCCCCCTCGGCTCTGTTAGCCGTTAGCTTCACGGTCCAGGAAGAGGTTTGAGGTGTTTCACAGCTGCAGTGACCACAATGTTAAAGCCTTGTAAAGTTTAACTAACGTTATAATCTCCCCGCCCACACGTGTGTTCAAGTCGAGACTGTGGCTGTTTCAAAGAGCGATGTCCCATTCAGTCACAACATAGCACGTTTTTGGTTGCCCTGTACGGCGAGTGAGGAGGGACAAAAGTCTTCCGTCAATCATCACTGTATCCTGTATGACCATGTTGGCTGGCTGTCTTTACAGTTTAGTAGACTTTTTCATTTGCATTCTCTTGTTTACAAAGCTATTATTAGCTTACTTCCAGCATATATATTTTGTTCTATGTTGTCTGTCTGTAACTTTATGTTGCTGCCAGGACACTCTTGAAAAAGGGATTTTTTTTAATCTCAAGAGGTTTTTCTGGTTAGGTTAAAAAAGAGTTCATGTTCTATTGGCAGGGACAAATGCACATGTTCAAAATATGGATGGGGACTGTGTTACTTTATAAAAACTGGTGGTGGGATGATGCCAAGTACATTTACTCTAGTCATATACTTAGATTTTTTTTGCCTCTTTATACTCCAATACATTTATATGACAGCTTTAGTTACTTTGTAGATTTATATTATTAATACAAAATAAAAATAAAATAATACATTATGTATTATTATAGATCAGGGTACCTAATAGTAGTAAATAGATAATAAAGTCATTAAAATTAGCTCGACCTTCCCCAGCTGCAACATCCAAGTGATTAATCCAGTAAAATATATTATTCTGAAATGGGCCATATTCTGCACCATGAGTACTTTAACTATTGGTGCTTTGAGTATATTTTGATGCCATGCAGAGCTTGTACTTGTAATATTTTTTGCGCCATCTTCCATTACTAATAAAATCAACCGTCTAGCCAAAACTGAGAGCAGAATTAAGAGATTAATAAATGAAATAAAATCAGGATTAAAAGAATCATTCATTATGTTAACATTTTATTTGATCTCCATTACACATTTCCAAAATAGTATAATTACTGTACAATACACAGAAAATAAAGGGTTTTTTTAATCAGTATTCATTATTGGTTGGTTATTTTTTCAGTAAAATTCACATCACTACATACCATCATATCAACTAATTTCATTTGTCAGTTGGCATTTTTCATGAGCACTTTCACATCCTTAAAAGTATGAAAAAGTTTCACAAACAGCCAAACATTCAAAAGTATTCACAGCATAATGATGAAGTATTGTAGGAGGAAGCCTGAGAGCCCTGAGCAAACCGGGGTTGAAAATACAAACTCCACACAGGACGAGGTGAGCTAATTTATTTGATAGCCAATTAAATGTCCAAACTGGTGTCATTAAATTAATGGAGCATTTACTATGTCAATAAAAATTACAGCTTTGATTTGTGCTGCTGTATGAAGTTCATAAAGGGAGATCTTCTGAGTGGTTGTGTGTATGGTAGAAACAAATTAACAAATAAAACATAATTATTGAGGTATCTTTGTGGCAACTGTTTAACAGTGCATTGGTAACATCACAAAGTCTGTGTGCCTGAGACAGAACACACACTCTCAGTTTTATTCTCCACGTTAACAGCTCTTTCTCAGCATCGACCTCTGGGGCGGCTGCCAGCTCAGAGTCGAGTTGATCTGACAGAGTGAGACAGAGGAGCCGACGGCAGGAGACGATACTGGACTGTTCTTCATCAGAGCTGACTCCCACTTAAAGAACTCACATCCCTTCTGGATCCTGCCTCCGCTGCCTGACCGGTGGACTGGACAGCAGTAAAACCCTCGCCCATGGTTCGGCCCTCCATTGGATACAACCTGACGCTTTGCACGACGCCCACACGCACACAGTGGGGATGTGATCCTCTGCCCTCCTTTCATTGTCACAGAAACAGAGGAACGATTTGTGCATGAGGAGAGTGTGTTGGTAGACAGAGAGGAGAGGACATTCCTGGAGGTGCTAAAAGAGCCACATGATGAGGGATGGGAAGGTATTGCTGGGTCGGTGTAGATGGTAAAGGAAGATTTTGGAATCTCTTTATGATTTGTGTGTTGTGTGACAACTGCTTTGGGCCTGGCAAATGAGGTATAAGGGGTGGAGGTCTTTTCTGGAATGAAGGGCTTGTGCCTGAGTAGAAAGGGTGTGATTAACTGAGAGTTTTTATGTGGCCCATAGGACTTCTTGTGTTCTTGTGGAACTGTTTTATGCTGATTTGATTTGGGTTCCCGAGTCACAGTTTTAGGCACAGCAAAATAAACATTAGGCTCTGAGACCGCTGAATTCTGCCTGATTTTATTTAACTGATTAGACACATTAACACTGGACGTCATCTTCTTTGTAAGTAGAGACGTCACTGATGATTCACTGATTATCTTAGGAGTTTTAAAGCTGTTTTCAACGCTCACTGTTCCTCTTATATTGTCCCTTAATGTGACCTGATCGCCTGGTGAGTGTGTATCATCAGGCTGTTCCCACACATGACATCCACTGTCAAAATCTGATACATAACCAACTTTAAATTCTCCCAGTGTCTCACTGATGACATCATCGTCATCCTCTAACACCACATCATCATATGAACCACACCTGTCCTCTGTTTCCACAAAGATTTCCACTCCTTCTTCTTCTTCCACACATCCTACTGCAGCTCCTGGGGGGTGGTTGGGTCGAGGCAGGTTTGAAATGCAGTCCACAGTAGTAGAAAACAGAACAAGGCTGTTGTTGTTATTGGGAGGTGAGGGACGATTCATCATAACTGAAGTGGAAATATTAGCGGTTACTGCTGTGACTGACCTGCCGCGTCCCCAGAGTGGTGTAGTTGCACCATTCAGCAATGTCTTTGGTGCGATCAGGCTTTGAACAGAACTTGAGTTTTCCTTTGTGTCTAAATCCCTCTTAATGTCCTCTGCACATGATTTTATCTGACATGATTCAGGAGGAGTCTTAGATGATGAAGGTTTATTTAATGTGTTTTCCTCTTTATTGTTGATGGGTTTTTCTTTTTTGCTTTCTGTCGCTGTGTTTCCAAACATGGGTCTGACCACTGATGGGGTCTACAAGAAGATAAGATGAGAGATATGATCAGTAACTCAGAAAATATCACCCATTCTGATTTTTCTTGAAGCTAATTATGTACAAGTCATGAGTATCAGCATTTATGATTTGCAGTCAAATTATGTATTTGTTTATTTATGTGTAAAAACAGACTGTACAACAAAAAAATTCAACAATAAAAATTCTACATGGTGGATCGGTCTGAACCGAACAAGCTTCATCCATGCAGATTCCATACAGTCATCATCCATAACAGGTTTTGCTTGGGGGGGTTAAAAGGAGGCCCAGGGATTTAGGAGCTGGGATGCGACGCTGGACGGCGGCCACTCACCCTCTCCAGGCTCCTAGTGATCTTCATCACACACCCATCCCTCATCATCCTTGCTGCCAAATGAGCTGTATTACGGGAGTCATCCAAACCTGAGGAAGGAGGGGAAACAAGACACAAGGGATAAGATTAGGCATTTTCTATGTACTGTAGATATATAGAGCAATTTGACAACATAACATTTGTTTTATTTTAATACCAGAATGTTCTCTTCCTGAAAACTGTATTCCCAGATCTTGCAGCGCCCCGTTGAGGCCTTTGGGTTTCCGATCATAAAACAACTGAATTCAAAAAGGAGGGTTAATCACAGCATGAGCAGTGCTGAAACAAATAGGTCTTGTCTTAGTGCTTAGTTAATTGATAGAAAGTTTTATCAGTGAATATGTGGATAATCAAACTTTAACTGGTCACAGCTTCTTACATGTGAAGCTTTGCTGCTTTTCCTGGTTACATGTCATTAATAACTGAATACCTTTGGGTTTTTTGGACCACTGGCCAGACCAAATAAGCAAACTGAATACTTTACTTATGATAGAAATTTGCCATAACTATAAAATGTCATTCATTTTACAGTCCAAACAATTAAGAAAATATCCAGTGCCCTAAACAGTTGCAGAAATAATTGTTGCTTTGTAAAGACAAAGTAACTGAGCTTTTGCCTACCCTGTAGGTGCTTCTCAGGTCTATCCAGCTGTTGAGCACATCAGGTTTGTGGAGCTGCTTGCGTTTACATTCGTAGTGCAAACAAACTCCAAGATCCCAGTCTGACACGCAACGCAGATGCAGGCATATTAAAATGAATAATGTGTGTCTTGGTCAAACTTCTCAATTTCATTAAAAAAAAGCTACAGGGTAAAAATAAACCATGCTATTGTGCATTCTAGTCAATATTTAGTGTGATCTTATCTTCAGTGCAGGTAACATCCTCAGTAACTATGGCAGAGACCGAGCATGATGACTTTATGGTAACTGAAAGAGGGTTACCAAAAGAGATGTAGACCAATGCAGTTGACTTTTACCTGACCATGTGAGGAAAGTACACAGTTTTTGAGAGGGTGAAGGTGCAGAGGATCTCTGCTGTCTGTTGGGAAAGACCACTCCCTTCTCGAGCTGCAGGTTTTGCAGCCAGCGGCTGAACCGAGAAAGACAGATTTGAAGGGGGATCCCTGCCTCAACTTGCATCTGTGAGACAGAGAAATGAAGCTGTCAGATATAATGCACAGCACACGGCACCAGAGAGTGCACTGATATGTTTGTAGCAATGTATCTATGTGTTATCATCAACACCTGTGTGATCCCAGTCAGCTCTGTGCAGAACTCAGACAGCATTGGGTGCTCTTGGGGTTGAACATAAGTATGAAACTCGGACTCGACCTCTCCTGTGGATGTGTTCAGCAGAACAGCAGGAAACTCAACTGTGTGGAGGGGAGACAGGAAAGAGGGACATGTATGTTATGAGTAACAAGGGTGAGGAAGAAGAATGCCCACATCACATCTAACATTAAAGGGCTACTTACTAATTTCCTGGCCGTAGTTGTTTTTCTCTCTCCAGCAAGTGGACTCAAAATCAATCACAATCAGGTATGAAAATATTTGATCCGAAAGATTTCAGACAGTATCAAACTGTGGAAAGTGCAGCTGTGTATTCCAGTGGAAAAATTGCACTGACAAGGAGATCATGTTTACACATGAGCTCTCTGTATGCACATATTGAGTACAAATAATCTTACTTACTCGATAACAAGGATTTCTTTGACCCATTAGAGGACTGACTCCGCTGCCTCAATAATCCCAATTCTCTGTGGAGGCAGGAAGAGATTCATGAGCCTCTGATCTAAGTGTAGTAACGTTACTACAACAAATACTAACTTCTACCAGCGTCATGTGCTGTTGCCCATTTCAAACACAATTAAAGTTGGCAACAATATGAAATAACATTCAAGCACTCGATAAAAAACAAATGTAGGACCTATCTTACGTTGGTTCACGTTACTAAAAGACTTAAAGCTACTGAATGTGTCGTTTCTTTGTGCTCCGAGTGGCTAACGCTGAACGCTAACGGCTAGTGGTTAATCCGTTACTTACTTGGCCAGTTTCTTTGTAGACATAATGTCAGCAGTTAGCAATTAACTTCGTGTGAAATAAAATTAACTCAATGTGAAACAATTAAAAGGTATTTAGTCCTGCTCCAGAAGGCAGCAACAGTCGCGCTGTTTTTTTTGAATGTCCATCCATTAGTCTGAGCTCGATTTGCTGGGGCTGCTAGTCAGTAAAACTCAACTGCAGAACAGTCGATCACAGAAAATCTGCGAGGTTGGACCAAAGATACTGGATCATCACCGTCTTTGGTTGAACCAAAGATACTGGATTACTACTATTTTCCACCGTCTGTGGTTTAACGACGACTTCTTCTGTACATGGTGCATTCTGTGGTTGCATGTTATTGATTCCTCTGACTGACAGTGTACACATAAACCAGTTGGGTGTTTTCCTATTTTCTGTAGTGACCTAATTTAATCCTATTGCATATTACCTCCTCCCTCCTTGTCCTTCCCATATTCCTGTCTGTTGACTTTATATTACTGATAAAGCTATATAAAAACCTTCCCCTTGTTTCATTGTCCCACCTCCCCTGCCATTCCCCCATTGACTTATTCCAGATTATTGTTTTGATCTCTGATTTACTTAACGAAATGTGTGTATTTATGGTGTCCTTTTGTAGTGCTTGTTTAGCCAGTTTATCCACCTCCTCATTCCCTTTTATACCTGCATGTGCCGGTACCCACATAAATTCAATACGCATACCTTGCTGTATGACTCTGGCGTGTACTTGTAAAATCTGGAACAGGATATCTTGACTGCTAGATATGAAGGCTGTCAGGCTGCTCAGCACTGAAACAGAATCAGAGCATATTAGGGTATTTCCTGGTTTGTTTTTTTCTATCCACTTCAGTGCCAAAAACACTGCCCACAACTCTACAGTGTAAACTCCCAAATAATCTGAGGAACGCTTTACCACATGAACCTTTCTGCATGGAACAGAGAAAGCAGCCCCTGTTGTTTGCTGCTCTGGATCTTTAGACCCATCTGTATATATCTGAGTGTACTGAGGGCAATGCTGGCTAACATGAGCTAAGAAAGCTGACACCAAGTCTATCTTCCCTTTCTCTGTCTTCCTGACGTCCAAGAGGTACAAGTCTACTTGTGGTGTAATAAGCTTCCATGGTTCAACTTCAGGAGTTACCACTGTTGGGCTCACGTAGAAATTTTCCACCCCCATATCCTCTGCATACTGGTTGCCCACCCACCCGAAGCTAGCCTTTTGTCTTTTGCCTCGTTCCCAGCACTCCTGCATTACCACTTTTGTGGGTTGTTGCTCTTGGTGCCCCTTGAGGCTAGCCCAGTTGGTCAGCTGCTTTCTCCTAATGTCCAATGGCATCTCTTTCCCCAGAACTTGCAGGGCTGGGATGGGGGTTGTTCTTACTGCTCCACAACACTGCCTCAGAGCTTGAGCCTGAATTTTATTCAGTCTCTCTAGCAGACTTTTTGAGGCTGAACCATAAACCACACCCCCATAATCAAACACTGACCGGATCATTGTCACATAGATGGCTTTTAATGATGACAAGCTAGCGCCCTGTCCCACCCCACTTAAACACCCCATGATATTTAAAACCTTCTGGCATTTCTCAACTATTTTAATTATGTGATCTACCCATGTCAACTTGGAATCAAAAAGAATTCCCAAGAATCTTAAAGCATTCACCCTCTCCAATATTCTTCCATACATCTGCAGGCTAACATCAGGAAAAGCTCTCTTTCTTGTGAAGACAACTGTATTTGTTTTCTCGACTGAAAATTTAAATCCCCAATCATATGCCCACTGCTCAACTTTATCGATGGCTTCTTGCACCTTTCCATTAATATGCATGATGTTCCTACCCCTTTTCCACAATGCCCCATCATCAGCAAAAAGAGATCTGCCTATGTCTGGTTGAATCTGAGAGAAAACATCATTAATCATAATTGAAAAAATTAATGGGCTTATTACACTCCCTTGCGGGGTGCCATTTTCCACCACATATTGACTCGATATTTCATTTCCTAGCCTTACCTGGATAGTTCTATCTTTCCACATCATATTATAAGCTTTTTCAACATCAAAAAATACTGCTATAACTGACTCTTTATTGATTTGTGCATGAGGTTTTCACATGTTCTGCTTCCAGTGGTTGGCAATTATAATTTCTAATATCAGTGTCCGGGCTGTAACAAGTAGTCTCAATATCATTGGTGGCTCATAAAAAGGCAGCAATAACTACACGGCTGTCTTTTTTTTGGTGTTTAAAGGTCCCATATAATGCTTATTCATAGGTTCATACTTGTATTTGGGGTTTCTACTAGAACCTGTTTTCACGCTTTAATTAAATAACATATATTATATTCCTCATACTGTCAACCTGAATGTACTCATATTCACCCTAAGTCTGAAACGCTCAGTTTGACCACCCGTCTCTTGAAGCTCTTCTCCTGAAAAAGCCCAGTCCACTTTGATAGGTCAGTTTTATCAGGTCTTGATGGCATTTTAATAAAATGTACTTCTTCAGTCTCCTCATGATGAGACATTGTTCTTCATTGATTTCGTGAACGCATCTCCACAGAAGTTTCAGCTGTGTTTATTGATCTTCAGGTGTGATTTGAGTAAAAAACATTTTAACCACACTCTGCAAACATGTGACTCCTCACTTCCAGGGTTCTTGTGTGTTTTGACCATGAACCAGAACTGACATGTCTCCTACTTGTTTTTAAAACACAAGGCCACTTGACTGTGTGAGATCTTATATGCCTTTTTACTTGAGACACATCAAAGTTTCTTTTCCTGCAGCTCTTGGAGAGTTATGACTTCTCACCTGTGTGGATTCTCATGTGGGTCGTCAGGCTACTTTTACATCTCAAAGCATTCTCACGTAAATGGCTTCTCACCTGTGTGGATTGTGTATGATGTTTGAAATGTTACTCTGATCGTCAGTGAGACAAAAGAAATCCACCTGAATTTAAGACAACTTTTTAAGGCCTTATATTAAGAAAACTTTAAATCATTTCAAAGGACCCGTAGACACCCTGACAAAAGATCACAGTAACAGGACAAATCTTCTGGGATCAGTTTATTACTGTGTTCACTGCAAAATCAGTCATACTTTTAATTACAGGTTCCGCTCACATTTTCATGGACAATATTTCAAAACTTTTTCAGGACCTTTTTCTTTCCACACTTGCCCGGCATTTTTCAAACATCAGATTCAAACTCTATGTCAACATAATTGGCAAACAGGAAGGGAGAGACAAACTGAGGGAGAAAATGACAAAACACACCTGATGGTAAACAAACATTGTCACGCATCGGCGCATATTAGTGATGCACCTTTACACCTGTGTGCGTTCTCATGTGGACTGTCAAGTTACTGACAGTTCTGAAGTGTCTCCCACATGTTTTGCAAGTATACGGCTTCTCCCCTGTGTGAATCCTCATGTGGACTGACAAGGAACCATTACATCCGAAAGCTCTCCCACATACTTTACAAGTATGTGGCTTCTCACCTGAGTGGATTCTACAATGCCTTTTCAATACTGATGCGTCACTGAATCTTTTCCCGCAGGTCTTGCAAAGGTAGGGCTTCTCACCTGTGTGGTTTCTCATGTGGATAATCAGGCAATGTTTCCCTGTAAAACCTCTCCCACACGTTTTGCATATAAATGGCTTCTCACCTGTGTGGAGTCTCATGTGCTTTGTCAATACGGAGACATTCCTGAATCTTTTCCCGCAGGTCTTGCAAAGGCACGGCCTCTCATCTGTGTGGATTTTCATGTGGACTTTCAAGTCACCATTACGTCTGAAAGCTCTCCCACATACGTTACAATTATACGGCTTCTCATCTGAATGAGTCCTCATGTGGACTTTCAAGTAAGAATTAAGTCTGAAAGCACTCCCACATACTTTACAAGTATGTGGCTTCTCACCTGTGTGGATTCCACAATGCCTTTTCAATACTGATAGGTCACTGAATCTTTTCCCGCAGGTCTTGCAAAGGTAGGGCTTCTCACCTGTGTGGATTCTCATGTGGACTTTCAAGTCGCCATTACGTCCGTAAGCTCTCTCACATACATTACAAGTATACGGCTTCTCACCTGTGTGGGTTCTTATACGAGCACTCAATGCTGATGTGTCATTGACATTTTTCCCACATGTTTTGAAAGAAACCGGCTTCTCACCTGTGTGGTTTTTCAGGTGTCTTTGCAATTTTGACTTGCACTCAAAAACTTTCCCACATACATCACATTTTAAAGGCTTTTTACCTGTATTTAAGTTGATCACAGCAGAGGTGTGTGGACTGTTACTGTTAATTTCACTTTCATGATGTCTTTACTCTGCTTGAAGCTCTGTGTTTCTAGTTGATCCTGAGTCTCCATGCTGGTATTCTTCCTCATCTTGGCTCTCAGCTACATGAGAGTTGTGAGAGAGCAGCTGGTGGTCACTGGTTGCTTCTGATATCACAGAGCTTATAACTGGTATGATGACGACAGACTCTTTCTCTGCTGCACTTTGAGTGTCGTCATGAATGAAGTCCACAGTCTGATCTTCACTGTGCTCACTTTCCTCATCAACAGGAGTCAACATAAAGCCATCAGTCTCCTGCTTCAGTACAAGCTGCTCTCCTGCCTGACTGCTGCACACTTCCTCCTCTTCCTCTTCCTCTTTAATCTGTGGAGGCTCTGGGTGCTCTTGGTCCACACTGNTGTTGCTGTGGGAGCTCTGGAGGGACACACAACAACACCAACAGCATACTAATGTGATGCTACAGCAAATATACAGACATGGCAGTAAATTAGTTAAATCAAGTTTCACCCACCTGTCCTGTGTAACTTTATTTCAGGCTTCAAAACGATATCCAACAGTCTGCGCTGACGATCGATCTCTTCCTCGTACTCGACGATGATTCTTAAAAAAACTCCCAATATTTCTTCAGCAGCAGCAGTTAGTCGCTCATTGACAAACTCTCTCAAAGACTCAACTGAACACATTGTTGTCTAATGTAGGCTACAGTAAATGTGGCTCGAGGTTTAAATCATAGAGTAACCTCCCGAAGTTAACTCAGTCATTTGGGAAACGAGACTGCCGCCTTTATCTTGTTTACTTCAGCAGAATGTTACACTTCTTCTTCTTTCTATTTAATGGCGGATTGCAAGCAACGTTCATGTGCATACCGCCACCTACTGTACAAGAGTATGTAGCCTCATATCCCCACCTTTACATTCTGCCCATCAATCTTGACTCTGTCAGAAAGTTGAACAGTGCTTTCCTCACATCTCTGATCTTATCTCCTTCTCCCTCTGTCCCTAATATTCCAGCCAGACTCCACTCACGCCGTGCTGCTCTCACTCTCCTCTGCAGCCTCTCTCTCTCTCTGATGCATACTTTACACAGTACATTATTATATGTTCCACATTTTCCATAACACCACATCTCTCACATTTGTCAGTATTCTTTTTCCCCATTACATTCATTATATCATTCGGACCAGTATGACCGACTCTAAGCCTCATCATGACAATTTCCTCTCTTCTGTTCCTTTCTTTAAAGATTTTTGTCATGACTGATTTTTGTATGTTATAATAGTATTTTCTTCCTTTCTGGTCATATTCCCATCTTTTTGCCATATTTCCAAGCCTTTTGCTTTAATAATTGCTTTACCATCTCCTTTTCCATAAGGTACTGTGACTGTTATATTCTTTTCTAGTGCCCTTTTTGCTAGGTCATCAGCAGCCTCATTTCCCTTCAAACCTGTGTGTGCTGGCACCCAGCAGAACTGGACCTCAGTGCCACCCTTGTGAAGCCTGAGCAAACGATGCTGTATATCAATGAACAAGTCTTCCCTGATTATGTTTGCTGACTGTAAACTTTCCACCATAGCCAAAGAGTCTGTACATACCACCACCCTGTCTGGTCTGACCTCCTCCACCCACTGTAGGCTGATAATTGCTGCCACCATTTCTGCTGTGAATACTGACAA